CCAGATGTCTCCGCCGAGCACGCGTTCTTCAGACGGCCCCTGTCCTTGTGTCGACGACGAGGACGGCCGTGCGTCGCCATCACGTACACCAGGATCCCTGTCAGCCCTAGTTCCATTAAGGGCGTGGTACCGCTCCTTCAGCGTGTCGTAGGTCTGCTGAATGCCGTCAACGGTTTTGCTGTCGTTGTCTGAGACAAGCTCAGACAGAACTAAAGGGTTTGGGCTGCCTAGTAAGTCCAACGCTGCCTTCTTTGCCAGCACCCTCTCTGCATTTCCGATGGGCTCGGCCGGGTCGAAGGTAGAGGAGCAATGTCCTTCGTGCCCCGGGCATGGATTTTCCTCCCCATCCTCCCGCTGTCCCTCTCCGACCTGACACAACTTATTTGCAGACTTGAAATGAATGAGCAGATTTTCGTCGGTCTCGGTCTCGAAGAAAGGCATAGTTACCTGTGTCGCCCGCTGTGACACACCGTGATAGCACGGGTTGTTATAGCAGCCATCTGTCATTGCAGCTATTTCTACAGGTTCCCCCTCCCGGACCTCTGTCCCGCGCAGCTTCAGTACCTGGCGAAGCTTCCCTCTGTTCTCCTCCAGGGAGGTCTCCAGGATCGTCTCCATGTTGTCACACACCGAATTCACCAGCTTCTGCATGGTAGAAATGCTCGGTGTCCGGATGTCCATCCCGCTTAGCAGGGTCTTGGCCCCCGTTACACCAATGCCGACCTTGGTGAGCGCAACAGCAAACTTCACGTTTGTTTTTGCGGGCTTTGGCCCCCTGGTCCTGCCAGGGAACCGCTCTGCCTCTTCGTACAACTTTACCGGACCAAACGTGAAACCGCAATTGGTACAGGTTAAACTCTCCTCGAATACGAACCCGTACTGGGTCTCGCCAGAGGCCGGCATGGCGCAATGAGGGCTGCAGTTGGGGTTTTCCTGGGAGTGGTTTGACAGGAAGTTATTGATCAGTGTCATAAGGAGGGGGACATCGAACAATCTTTGTTCTCTTACCAAGCTCTCCATCTCGTGGCTGGTGGCTACCACTAACTTATCCATTTCGGTAGGATCGGCGGGTTCAGGGCGAAGCCTACCTGGTGTCTGGTTGGCGCCAGGCTTGTCGCGCGCCAAGCTCCAGATGTCTCTCTTGTGACGGCGAATCTCTTCCACGGGACTATCGTCGTGACTGTCATCTTCTTCCACAGCAGTTTGCATCTCTGGGGGACCTCTATTAGTTCCGAATTGTCCAGCATTTGGTCCATTTTCTCTCCTTCTCTTCCTTCTGAAGCTGTTTCCAGACATGTTGGTAAAACACTGCGTCGAAAGGTTCTTTTGTCCGTAGTTGGCTCCGTTAAATAAAACAATGTGTGTAGAGCACGTTTCTCTATCAAAAATCCTCGATTACTGGTCAGATAGCGATTTCCGGTGAGCACTAAGGGTCGCGGAAAGTCAACTTTATTTCCTGTGGCTACCCTATTGGACTTCATGACAAATCTGGTAGGTGGCGCTTCCAATGCCAAAAAGCATGCATGAATCATTGCGCTGTTGCTTGGCAACGGAGTGACGCAAAGCAGCAAAATTTTCAGAGATCGTTGCGGGATGAATAATCTTTCGATTAAGACAGAATCTTAATAATCAATGGTTATTAAGGTCTCATACCGCAATTACTCCGCGTGTAGGGTCTAAAAGAGTGCGTGCAAAAAAATAATTGAGCCCGAACAGTGCGAGTTTAGGTCTATCATAAATTCCCTTTCATCGCACAGACCTGATCTAAAAAGGGGTTGAGATGAAAGGTTGTTTATTACTGACAGAATCGGGCAGGGAAGTTTCGGCATCCGAGGGATTGTCGGACGTGTACGCTTTTTAGACCTGAGTTATGCGGTCGGGCACTGTGAGCCGTGAGAGGGCCTCTGGCGGATCGTGGGTAATTGCAGTTACAGGTGACGTAAATATCGAACTAGCGGTTAGAATTGGGGAAAATTTTTTTAATATTTAAATGATATGTGTGCTTGCTATAGAAATAAAAAAAACTCTTGATTTACGTTTTTTTGATTGGATTCACAGCCAAAATAGTGACGTATTTTAAGGTGTAAGTCTATGGGACAGTGAAATTGGCGTATGAGACCTTAATCTTCCTTGCTTTTGCCAAGCTTTGCATTTAAACCTCCTTGGTTGTAGCCTCCTTCGCAGCTGCAGACTTGTAGGGCGCGGCGTTATATTTTTCGGTGAGCAACGCGAATGGGCAATTTTGCAGCCAAGAGAGTTTTGCTGGGCAGCGAAACTGTCTCTCCCCGGCAAAATCGTCCCTTCGCGTTGCTCACCAAAAAAAATAATGCTGCACCCTACAAGTCTGCGAAGGAGGCTACTTGGTATGGTTGTACAATGTTTTTCACGTTCAACTGTATCCCAACATGATATATGTGTGGTTACTGTAGCAGACAACATTCTTCTATACCAATATATCATTTAAAGTAAGATGCAATATACTAGGTAGGTGCCTGCGGCTGATAACTTCTAGCATACATACACGTCACTGGATAAAAACAAAGCCCACTGGAGAATCCGTTAGTCACACATACATATGATTATGCCCTATCTCACCGACACTGCATTATTCACTGAGTGAGGGGAACCTTGATAACATTTCATATTGTGATATTGGAAAATCACATGTAGCCCTGGATACTGTCGTATGTACCAAACTTCAAAGGCAGGACCCTGGAAAGATACGATCCCTGGCATAAAAATGATGGATGACTTACTACAAATACAGTCTGGTTATTTCATAAACAATTTGCATCAATCTTTATTCTACTTCTTAATTTGGCTTTGGGATGGACATTTCTGGATATAGTGAGAGGTACAGAAATATATAATGTGGGAAAATTATGTCAAATCAGAACAAATTAAGGTAAATGTTTGTATCAAATGAAAGAATTGTAAACCAACACTAGTTGTAAAAAAAAAGTTATGATAACCAAAAAGTAAAATTAAAATCATAACAATTGTACATCCATATCACAGAGCTTACCCAACTTAAAAACTGGGTGCGAAAAAATTGTTTAGGTGCACCATATACAATTTTAGCAAAAACTAATTATGTTTTATTTGATTTATAAAGAAAAATACTACAAAAAGATTTTCTTCTTTTTCTGACACTTAGAAGTGAACAACAAGCTGTATTACTACAGTAGTATACATTTAACATCTTTACATACGTAAACCTATAAAAATGTTTGGGTGCACCAGAAAATAATTGGGTGCACAGCTCCAAATATCATGTACATTCCGCTTCCATGCTCTTCTGATGTTGACAGGTGCTCCTGTAAACGATCACTTCAGCTCGTGGTCAATCCCAGGTCTCATTATTGATTCCCAGTCAACAGGAATGTATGGAACCAAATGACTCTTATCCCCATGGGACCTGGGTATGCCCATATCTTACTAAACCATGCAATTACCACATTATCTATCAGACCCTTGGGACAATGCTCGCAGTGATAGAGTATTCTTCCTGCAGTAAAGTAATTTGTGATTTAAGATAATTGCTGAATCAGTTTCGTTTTACAGTTTGCGAGAGTTTTTCTCTATTTCAATGCACTTTAAAGTAAGAAAATAAAAACTTATGAACATCTAACTGAAGGCATGTATACCGTATAACCTGTCTAGTAGCCATCCATTCTGGCTGTTTGAGTACACAAATGGGCAGTGAGCAGTGAACTTAAATGAGGACGTATTAGTAGTAATACAAAGCAATTAGCAACCATTTAACCTCTGTTGACAAACAGCAAGACAAGCCCCTGTATAACCTTTGAACTACCATTTTGGGGTGTGTCCCCTAACAAGGCAAAGAAATGCTCAAATTCACAGCGAGAGGTCATACATGCTACAACAACTGGCTAAAGAACCATAAATCAGCACTGTAAATAAGGTTAAAATCAGATGGACCAAACAGCCTGGGGCAGACTAGTCTACATGGCAACAGTCCTATCTGAAACTGTGCAGGTGCCGCACATAATATACATGTACATGTCACGTGAAAAGAATCTAAATTCTAAGTAATCAGAACATAAAATGATAGCAATCAGCATTCATTCATCAGAGATCATAAATTTTGAGCACCTTTTTTGCTCCTATTGGCCTAGATACAGTTTTCATCAGATTATAGAATGTTAATTTGTCAGGTCTGGTTATGTTGGTTTGTTGAACTATTAACCTGTGATTCCTGGTGGAAGGCAATAAAACTTAATTAGATATTATCACTGATAACCAAAAAGAAAGGAAAACAAATACATACTAGTATTCTACAGTGCGTGAATTGTGCATAATTCTACATTAAGTTGCAAACTTCACACTTTGGGGGAATCTATTCAATACAACATCCTCAACTAATGTGGCATCCCTCATTTCTTCTAATAAAGCCTTATATTGACAATTCTGGCACATTCTTCCAATGTCATTATGTAGGAAGTACCTGAATACTGACAGTTATACCGGAAACTTTCACCTGGAAGCCCTTTAGTGAAACAATAACTTATTGTGTGGATAAAGGCGCAAAGTAAACAACAGCGCGAAGACTTTTAGGGTGTCAAGTTCTCACTCCATTCCTTGGGGATTGAATCATAAGTTTGAAGGGTGTTGCCCAATACCGTATGCACGTCAAAAAGTTTGCCTATACGTTCAAAACGTTGGACATGTATGTGAAGGTTGTAGTAAACGCCTTTTTGCCATTTCGAGCGTCTCAAATCACCAAGAACGCTACTAAGGAGGTGCTTCTCTCCTTCAAACGGCCTGAAACGTGTTTGTTACTGTAGTGTTAGGAAGTCCGACACGCATGGGTAAGAAGCCTGGTTAGTCAGACGGCGAACACGTATGGATGATTCTCCGTTACACCTGCAACAGTACCGTACGGAATGAAAGCTTGGTACTCTAGGCTATCAGGACAGAGGTATGTAACTAGGGCAACTTGTCCGAAACAACCTGCTGCAGTTGTCCGGGAGTCCTACCTTTGTCGTTGTACGTGTGGGGTTCCCTTCCGTACTCCACGATCTCGATCCTCGGCGGCGGGGAGGTGGGGGACAGCGTAGGGCCGCTGGCCTCGCTCGGCGAGCTCGCCGACGCCGGCTCGTTGGTTATTCCATCTTCATCTTCCTTCACGGAGCTGACCGCGAAGCGCACAGACATCTTTTTGACCCGATCAAACGACGGAAAGGCGGCTTTACATGACAATAAGCAGAAACCGTCCGAAAGTGGGAAATTACCTCGTTCGAAATCGAACCAGATATCGAACTAATGAAAGCCTCGTTTTCAATTTTTAGCTATCCCATCATTCCCTATAAGGATATAGACTGTCCCATCTGTAAGGTATACTAGTAGTAGAAATAAAATATTTTATGTATAAATATATGATAATATACTTAATTAGATAGTGTATAGATTAAAAATTAATTTTAAATTAATGTATCAAATATTTTGTGTTTAATCATTTGAAATGATGAATACAAGTTGATAGTTCAAAGCAGTACATCCCTAAAATGTTTTGGTCTAGTCCGATCGCTTTGGGCGCCATATTGAAATTCGTCAGGTGAACCAAGCGGAGATTTGCTTGTGGGACGTCCGAAAAGATCGGCATTTTCTCGTCTGATTTTCTCACTTTGATTGCCGCCTGATGGACATATGGTTGTGGATGACTTAAGGTGCATAATCTGAGCGGGGGACACCATAAATTTCCGATCTGGTCCACTATACGACGTTGGCAACATCAGATCATTCTTGCAGTATAAACGTTTACTTCCTGTATCCACTAGATAACAACACAACAAGTTACTATTTTCCAGTAGCAACAGATAAGAACGTGTACGGATATATTTGTGGAGCTCTAACAGTAACCTTCGTGTTCTAAATCGTACAGTAACCGTCATGTTACAAATCTAATTGTACAAATCTCTTTGAATTGGTATATTGATCATTTGTTGATATAATATTTTGCTTATAGGCTCAAGTCCAACTAAACTCCGAGCAACAACAAGAAATATAATGGCACAGTCCCTCGACGTTTGCAAGAGAGAATCCGGTAAGATCTGGCATCGCAAACCAGCCCCCTCCAGCGATGATGGGTGAGTGGTAGTATTGATAATTATTATGGTGGTGTGTCATATATTTATCAATTTTCACTCCTTGCATGTGATGAAGTGCATCAATACTGCCATTTTCGACTTACTGACAGATGGTTTTCGGAGTTTAATGGAACTGGGACATATATGATTTCTAGCACATTAACTGACATAACATCCTTGTTGAAATTTATGATACTGTAACAGGTAGCATTGTTTATTTTTTGGAAGTGGAGGGTTGCGATTGTAACTTAAGAATATTTTCAGCGTCTTTACAATTTTAGAATGATAGATATGTAGCATGATTAATAAACTCACTTCTGACCCCATATTTTCTAAATGGTGAGCCTCTGAAGAAGGTAGACTTCTGTGCAATTTTGATTTCCATTTTCAAAGACTGGTGGTGAGCATCAAGCACACATTGGGAACTGCCGTGTCTCCACACGTGAGAACTGTCCGCTTCCTACATGCAGCATTCGACTCAACCGGGAACAGTTTCATAGCAGGAGACCATCAAGGCAACATCTACTTGTTTGATGTCGCAAAAAACAGGTAAAAACTTGAAAGGTAACATTTTGCAATAAGCATAACGCATAATGTTTACCTTCGCATATAGTCTGCTCTGTTAATTCTTACTCAAACACATTCATGTAATATTATATGGTGACAGGAGTCTAAATCCCTCCTGCTATAAAATTGTAGCATGATATAAAAAACAACACCAGTTCCCACGGTTACAGATGTCTGGTTCAGGTCATTGACCTTATTTGGAGAAGAAGAAGAGGAAAAAACTGAGCAAAAATTTTTTCCTTCGGTAAACATTATAAATCAGTACAGACTGTTGTACTACAAATATTACTAATTCTAATCTTCCAGTGTCACAAATGTAACTTACTTGTGAAGTTTGTAGCATGAATATGTATCATTCACAGCTAGATTCCAGGTTAACAATTTATCAGTCACTATTATACTAATTAAGCAAAATTAGAAGATAGTCTGACTCTCCTAACTTTGCTTAATTAGTCTGACAAATGTATACGTAAGTAAGACTGATAAATGCATTTTACAGATACATGTTACTTTGAAACCAATTTCTAACGTAGTTAAGATGCACAGCAACATGTACTATATGGATTTTCCAATAGTATAAGTGATCCATCCTGCTTTTTGGAGAGTGTGCAGTAAGATCAAACATCTTACCAGGAACAAGGGATTCAACTCTAATGCAAAAGCAAAAAAAGGGCAAGCATGTATCTTCATTTCGCTTGGTGTTGCTACCTGCACACTAAGAAGCCTTTAATACTCACACATATTGATTTTGGCACGGTGGTAAACCCACTTCTTCATTAAAGGAATTCGAAAGAATTTGATTAAACCTGGCATTCCTGGCAGCAGAACCTGGGACAGAATTGGTTAATGTTGATATGAGAAAAAATCTTTCTTCTTCGTAGTCATGACAGCAGCCTGTGGAATTCGATTTTTATGAAATATTTAAATTTCTGAACTGAGATTTTCTACAGACCTTAATTAAAGTTGGTGTAATTTCTATTATGAAATGAGTTGATTGAGTTGTCACTAGGACAAGAAGGAGATGAAGAAAATCCTCCAAGATTACCAACTAATACAGCAATGCCTTTTAATAGTGACAAACCGCTGTTTGAGTTGCATTGAGAAAGTGGCAGTCTGGCATTTTGAGATTTGGCATTTTGGCATACTGTAATTTTAATATATTAAGAATTCCAGTCAGAATCTCAATTTTTTAAGAAGTACGATGTCGTCTGTATCATCAGAGTAACAGTGTTTTCAAAGTACATTGTACTTACATAGTACATTATATATACAGTATATATGCAACCAGCATTCAAAACTACAATCATGCTGGTTGCATATATTATGCAAGTATAATATTATTGACTACTATTTTTTCTTGCCAGCAAGTTATAGTTAGTTCTGTTACAGTACGGATTTGTGCCTTCCTATATATATGTTTGTTTTGGTCATGGTGCAAACATCTTCAGGAAAAGTTCACATGGATCCATCATGCCCCAGAAATCATGCTTGAAACTGTGATCAATTACACTTATGATTCATCAATCATGAAAAAAAGGTTAATATGCCATTTGGGTCAGTTGGAAATCAGTGCATATGTTTTAGGGTCAACGGGCTAGGGGGTAACCTACAAAACTGACATAATGTAATTTGATGCTGAAGAATAGATTGGTTACAGTTTTTTTTTGTGAAAATTGCTGTAACCGTGATCACAATTCCCATCCCATGCATGTAATTTCTACTGACTAGTATGTTACTGTACCTTGAGATATGTGGCCTAGATCTTAAGTATGATCAGACAAACAATTACTTAAATGCTAATAGCATTGTGGACACATTATCGATTAACTTGTACGTGTATACTTCAAACATTTGACAGCGAATGATAGGCATGTTATCAGGATCGACCACCTTCAATAATTTTTCTGGTGTGAGTTTTTTGTCAGATCACAATTACAACCATTTGAACCAGGTATATGAATCTGTTATAAGCACAAGTATAATATCTATCGGAAAGGTACGTGTTGTTCTGTATTCTGCGTCACACTTTCGTAGCCTGTCCTGAAAGTCAAGTAGGCTTATGACTGATGTCCTTGGCTTTCTTCACAAAGGCAGCTCTTGTGTAAAATTTATCAGCCCATTACTCTGCAGAGGTCGTTGCGCCAGTCCTTTTTACCATAACTGTTCCCTAAAGAAACATACAGATCATGCATAGATGGTGTTGCTGGTATTGTGTACATGGCAATCCATCAGTGTGTGTAAGGATTGTGTGGTGGATAACAGTGAGCCAGTTATACATGTGATATATGTTGTTGTAACAAATCACCCTACATTCCCCTGGGACAAGACTTGTAACTTTACACAAAACACTCTCAATACAATGTGTGACTGTTACTGTTACTGCTTTAGTAGACTGAGAGATCAAGGCTATGTGGAAAACCTAAGGCCACACCAATTTAATTTGTTGGTTCTCGGATTCGCCTCCTCATTTTTTTCTGATTTGCCAAAAAAAAAAGATTCTTGTTCTGAATCAACTCAAATATGCTCATATTTTGCCCCCAACAGTTGAGTTAATTCCTAGTTGTTACTGCAGTTTTTTCCATCTTTCAATGCAGTGGTTTGATTAAAAGTTCAAATTTCATTTAAATATTAACCCAGCCTTTTGTGTTGACTTCATGGCTCCTATCATAGCATTTAGGGTTACATGTATAATAGGATGTAAAAACATGTTTTTATTTCATTTTTTTTGCCCTGTCACTTCATATTTTTTCTGAAAAATCCCAGAACCAACAAATTAAAATGGTATGGCCTAAGACTGATGTCAAGTTCACCCAGGCTGCCATATTCTTGTATTACTCACTAGTACTGCCATATCTCAGTAAATCACATACCTAGTGCAGGTTATTGATGCTTATCATAGAAATCAGTGGCTTAGAAATATCCCACAGGCTATTTTAACTTGTCATTTTAATCAATCAATGACTGTACATTGTAGCTCTGTGAGCTTTAGCTACATTTTGATGTATAGCCTGACTGTGATTTCAATATCGTGTTCTGGCCCAAGGCCAAATTCAGCAGCCCATGACCCTACATGGGGACACATATAACTTTATACCAATGAGATTAAGGCTTTGTGTAGAAAAATGGCATGGTTGAAATATGTATGAAAAATAACTCATCTTGTGCATGTAGATCTAACATAATTGCATGTGTACCACAGGATGTTATCTTGGGACCCATCTTAATGTCAACTCTGTTGTTGCAGGTTCTCCCTAGTGCACAGGATTGGGCAGGCATGCACAGCTCTAGCGTTTGGCCTTCGCAGGAAAACAGAGTTCCTGGCTGCCCTGGCAGACTACACACTCAGATGTTACGATACAGGTACTGTGTTGTTTCCTTTACAATATTTACATGCATGTGCAACAATGTTATGAAAAAATGTATGTACACCAAATAGTGTGGTGCAAATAAAATTTGTGACAGGGCAGTGCTTTTTATTATTATTAGATTGAGAGAAGTTACCAGTAAACTTTTCAATGCTGTGACTTGCACATTTAACTTTCCAAGAAGTCTTAACTTCTATTGATGATAGGCCATGTAGCATTTTTAGCCCAAACCCATTTGGTAATGTTGCACATCCTTAGGTGCATAGCTGAGACATATAAAGTATGAATTCCTTTACCCATGATCGACATTCCCTTTCAGGAACTTCCTGAATGTGATTTATCTCTCCTTAACAGACTTTTCCCGACGTTGAGTCCCCAGTTACGTTCTGCTGGCGACGAGAATCTCCTGCAGACTTATTGATTATAATTGCAAAGATTAGGAACCTTAGAAGCTGCCTTGTGCTTTCATGGTCCATGGTGCACACTTATCGGCCAAAGTACAGCTTGGGCCATCAGTCTGGCACCAGTGTTCATGATCTTTTATTCCAGATGCTGTATGCCAGTGATAAACAGTTCCTTGCCGTAAAACTGACCAAGCATAACTTAAGAAACTCAAAATACATCCCAGTGCAGATAAGTCATCTTAAGTCATTTTCCTCTCTCACGAGCCTTTTCCTTGTACGGAAACGTCTCTCTGTCTTCCCACAATGGCAATGATACATGACGTATAGGGTTGACATTACATATAGGGCCCAGTCTGAAATACTGGATGGAAGTAGCCTCCGTAGAAGGCTTATAGAACTGTGGGTTTGGTGGTCTTTGGCTGTTTTCTGATTATATATAAAACCAGGATAGTGAGTGAGTGAGTGAGTGAGTGTGAGTGTAATTCAACCAGGCCAGCTATGTTGTCTATATGCAATCAGAAAATAGCACATAAAAGCTCCCAAAGACCCTGAAGACCCCAAAACCCCCAGTTTTTGGCATGCTATGGAGGCCTTGATGGAAGGAGAATATTGTGCATCCCGTGCACATCCACACTGAGGTATCACTCCATAACAGTTGACACCCCCTCGTATATAGACGGATGGCTGGCACCATCCGCTTTGACATTAAGTAAATGGAACAGGCAGGAGTACACTGTGAGTAAAGTTGAGATGGTACAGTAACGTGCTGAGCCCCACAGGTGGTGTTCCCATTGAAAAGGATAATTCAGCATGTCGACAATCACCCCTTGGACAATGCTGATACCTCAGGGGCCTGTCCCTACAATCAGGAAAATGGCTATTTGCTAATCATTGACATGTACTCTATATTTCCCAAAGGATAATATATACACTGGTTGTGTCAATTGTTGGTCGGTTGCACAGAGACCTGTCTGTGACACTTTGTACCTGTGAAACTGTAGGGAGATGCCCGAGATGTGCACAGAATGCTTAAAACGTGGCATCAGTGGCATCACCCCTTGGACAATGCTGATACCTCAGGGGCCTGTCCCTACCAGCAATTATCAGTAAAATGGCTATTTGCTAATCATTGACATGTACTATATATTTCCCAAAGGATATATATACTGGTTATGTCAATTGTTGGTCAGTTGCACAGAGACCTGTCTGTGACACTTTGTACCTGTGAAACTGTAGGGAGATGCCCGAGATGTGCACAGAATGCCAAAACGTGGCATCAGTCGGCTGTCTAATGTGTAAATTTGAGCCGGGGTTTTCATTTTCTGGCCCACTGGAGACCCGCGGCAGATATACCCTTCCATTTACTCAGCTTTCCTCCTGCGATTGTGTTTGCTGATTG